GGTTCGATTCCCCGCCGGAGAGCCATTTTGACGCGGCTTTGGCGGCGACGATGAAGGTGGTGATCCGCGGAAGACCGGTCGCTAACGTATGGTGGTGAGGTTGGTGTGACGGTGTAAAAGAAGAACAAACAAAACACAGTTGGTCACTAATGATGATGAAATGTGGGATTACCACGTTTATTGATTGACGATAGAATTATGTGCATATGAAAGTGTATATTGACGTACAAAGTGTCGGCGGGTATACGTCGGTGTGTATCACACGGAYATCGGTGAACGAGAGAGAGSCCGGCGGCGGCCGGTACGCGTCCGGCGCGACTTTGATTAATTGATTCCCGTCCCGCCCTGTGCCGTTGCGGCGCGGCGGGAGAGTCGACTGTCGCGCGGTCGTATCCCGTGGTGGCGGTTGACAAGAGCGTAGACAGGTCGCTGCGGCACCTGTACTTTGTACTGGTTGCCGTTGCGGACCGTGTCAATATTATATGCGCATAACTTGCCAAAGAAATTGAACTATCGTAAAACACTAACATATAAGTGTTTCGTTAAGAAAGCCGGATTTAATTGTTATAACTTTATCAAAAAAAATTATATCAACCTGTAATATATATCCTTCGATTTAAGAGTGGAATATCACATCCARCATATATATGTCCACCTCGGCTTCGCTGGCAAGCTTCTGTTCGGATCACAAAATYTGCTATCACTTGCTGGAATATTTCCGTGTCGCACCATGGTCACAGAATATTATTATCTCGTGCCATGGTTACAAACAGAACGGGAGAGTTTATAGATAACAATTATAAAAGAAACAAGCCAGCCAATATACAAAACAAAAAATGTCAGTCAAATTAAATCTAGTGTTCYTAATGAAACACCCTATATAAWAACGTACTCTTAACTAGTATAACACTTGAGCTATAAAATGGATTTTAAAATTATAAATACTAAAATACTAAAAATTTGTTTTAAGAACATCACTGGAAAATAATAAATTTCTTCGACAAATTGACRTAACTTAGCACTTACACTTCTTACACTTTATAAAAATGCTACTGTGAAAGAAGTACACGTCTTACTAAAGAAAAAAATGAATAATGTATAGGTAATAAAGATCATATTAAAAAATAAATTTACAATTCATCAAATAATTGAAAACATTCATAAAATKAATACCATTTCAAATTCATGTTTTTCAAAAATCTATATTTCGCTAAAACTCGAGAACGGCCGGACCGATTTGGCTAATTTTGGTCTTGAATTATTTGTGGAAGTCCAAAAAAGGCTTAAAAGGTCAATGAATATCAAAGTTTTATTATTTTTTATATTTTTATGTGTWTAGATGTAGATTAATAATATGAAAGTTGTTAACTAATATGGCGATCTAGCATCTATGTCGATGTCCATCCTTTATGTCGATCGATACCTCAGACAAAGAGTCCATCCTTTTATCTTTGTGAGTGATAATAACCGCTACGTACGTGATAATTTTCTTTACTTCGGTGATCCTTAGTCATAGTGAGATTTCAAGTTATGTTCTCTTTTGTTATAGTGACACGTTACTGCTAAGTACGCGAACACTTTTCTCATTTTGATTAATTACAATTTACAATACCAAGGAGAAGACTACCTGACATAGGTCGTCGCATTCAATCAAATGTGTGAAAAGCTACCTGACATGCTAACTGCGCYGATGACCAGAGAGATACARATCAAGAAGTTGGTCGTATTGCTATGTCAGAATTGCGTTCTTTAGTGAGTGACAACGAAGTTGATAGGCTTAGAATGCAACGAGTTCGTGCAAATCAAACACAACAACAGCAAGCACGACATAATGAAATAGAGAAAATTATAGTTTTTTAATTACATAGCCAAAGACCAGTTGATAGACATGACATCACTGCCAGAGTTTTTAAACAAAAATTAAAATCYCTCATGCATTTCTTCATAAAGTATCGCGTGTATGGCTAAGTCCGTTGTTGTATGTAGGTACTCAATAGAATGACAAAAGCGTAATCTGCAACACGCGCACATTTTAGTCTAGTTAGTGGACAAAATAAGACCAGATGAGATTGATTCCATAATTTCAGCTGAAATTTCTAATGAAACAGTTGACCCAAAATTGTATGCAATAGTTACCAAACACATGATACATGGACCTTGCGGAGTTTTCAACTACAATTCAACCTGTATGGTCGACGGCAAGTGTTCCAAGCGATACCCAAAAGACCTGATTACTGAAACCATAACGGAAAATGATGAATACCCATTGTATCGTCGGCGATCAGTTGCGGAAAATGGGCGATCGGTAATTGTGAAAGTAAGACGAAAAAATGTTGAAGTAGACAATCATTGTATCGAGTTATACTCGCCAATATTGTCCAAAGCTTTTGAGACTCTCTTCAATGTGGAATATTGTAACTCTGTGAAGTCGATAAAGTACATATTTAAATATATGAACAAAGGTAGCGATATGGCCGTCTTCACTGTAWYCAATGCAAATGACAAAGTATCACAGTACCAGAATTTTGCATATCTTTTCAATTGCGATCCACGAAAGACACTCTACAATAGTCCATTTAGCAGTTCATTTAGAACTGACTAGAGAACATTTAGAACTCGTTTGTCAACGAGTTTATTTTAATGAATCGAACGTGGCAGACAGAGCGGCACGTCCACCGTCGACAACATTAACAATTTTCTTCAAATTCTGTCAAACTGATGATTTTGCTCACACTTTTCTGTATGCTGACACGGCACGCTATTACACATGGAATGCATCATCGAAATCGTTTCAGCRTCGAAAACAAGAAACACCAGTTGAAGGACATCCAAATGTATTTGATTCAGACGCTCTAAGTCGTATCTACACAGTACATCTAAATAACGAAGAATGTTATTATTTGCAGCTGTTGTCGGTGAATATTCTTAGTCCGATATCGTAGTGATGTGAGTCTCGTAAATTTACCATGTACAATTTTACCGGTAAAGTAAATTTACCGTAAATTTACAAAAAACAATTTACAATTTACATTTTTTTTACCACTCAAACAGTTGAGTGACCACTTTATTTGTAAAGTTGCTGTCTTTGTATTTTTTATCAAGATATTAGGATTATAATACAAATTAGGATTTTTATAAAATGATAACGACAGTTACGTGATACGAATTATTGTGATATGGTGTACGCGGTTACTGGTACTGTTTAATACGWTACGAAGTTATTAATACACAGGTGATAGGTGCTGGATAGGTGGTGATAGGACACATGCTGTTTTCATTATACTATAAGTTTATTTTTATTTTTATTTTTTTTGAAACAGATTAAAATTATTTTTATTTTATATTTTAGTAAAATAATTTTACTATGATAAATTATTAATTATTATTATTAATAAAGGGATTAAATACTAATACTTTATTTTATATTAATCTTGCCAACTTTACATTATATTGTGAAAAAATTCAACAGGTACGCTATAATTTGAATTTTAATAAAATTTACCAATTTTACCGTAAATTTGGTAAATTTACACGGTAAATTACCAAAAAATTTTTTTACGTAAAATCCACATCACTACGATATCGTTTAAACAATTGAGAACAGTTAATGGATAGCTGTGTGCGAYTTACCGTAAGGCATGTCAACYATTAAATTTACTCGAGAACGATTCGCACTGGAATGATATAGTCAACTATCCCACGGAGTYATTCACTGGAATTGCCTGGATTACCACCTCAAAATTTGCAGTTAATATTAGGATCAGTTGTCATCATGCTGTGTAACATTAATCAACCTCGACTKTGCAAWGGAACAAGACTGAATGTGAAAAAGATTATGAATAAGGCAATAATCATAAAAGGAAAATACAAAAGAGAGTAGGTATTAATCCCGTATATACCGATAATTCCAAATAATTTACCATCCGTTTTTAAACGTATACAATTTCCAGTGCATCTGGCCTTTGCGATGACTATAAATCAATCGCAAGGCCAGTCGTTTGAAGTTTGCGGATTAAACTTGGAGTTTTCCTGTTTCGGGCATGGACTAGGACAATTATACGTCAAGTGTATGCGCTTTGGAAAACCGTAATCTTTGTATAACTATATATATCTGTCAATATCAAAATGAAACCTTATAAATAGACAGCATTTCAGGAAAACTCTGTTTTGTAAGTAAGCAACATCATGTGTAATTAATCGAAGATAATAATAAAACTTTATTCATACCGAGCTTTTTTTTTATTAATTATGGATTCTTTTGTTTGTTTTAAGTTTATTTTATACAAAAGTTTAGGTCTTATGTTTATCGATTACGGCAGAACGAATATACGTACTGATGGGTACGTGCAAAGAAAAAACAAAGAATTTTGTAATCATAATGCATTAGAATAATAAACACTYTTTTTGTGTTATTTTTTTCATTAATTATACCAATTCATATTCAATATTCATAATCAAGACGGGCAATTAACACACAGCTTAATACATATAAGAGGTAGGATTTTTAATGAGCTACGAAGTGCAAGGGTTCAGTTAGTCTAAATGTAAAATTGAATGCATTATGTTATGCAAAAAAAGTTGTTCCATTTGATCAAGAATAACTCAATTCGTGGACATAACAGACAGTCGATCTATTATTAGTCTAAATAAAAATCTTATCCCTAATTAATAACTAGCTAATAATTATTAGCTAATAGCTTCATTCACAAATGAGCTTGTAACCTGATATTAAATTACTATTATTACAACACTAGTCCATATTTAATGTACTTGGCAATGTAAATAAACCAATTTTTAAGATTTTTCTAAAATATTCTAAAAAAAGTAAAAAATTCACGATAATAATAAAGAAGCAAAATTAATTTTTAAAAATCCAATGCACATGCGCGAGTGTGTAAAAAATATACTACTACTAAAAAAAAGATTCAAAATTGTTGACTTTATATATTCTCTGTACCGTCTAATATTTATTTTTTTCCATCAAATGTATGGGTAAACAGATTTTGGACAGCGAAAACATTCGCCGACGATTACGCATGAGCAGTTACCATGCAACTAAAAAGTTAAGCACGTTCATGATCACGATGCCGGTTATTATGAACATGGGTTGGAATCTACTGCACATGAACTTGGCTGAATTCACAATCACCAGTTTTAAGACGACCTATAAAGAGACAGTTTGCATCAAAGTGCACGCCAATTGCCGGCTAAGGAGAATATATTTCAGTGACCAACTGTATAAAGAAAATGAACTTCCGAAGGCATACAGGACGTATGGTACTAYGGAAAAGCGGGAAAACCCGAAGAGCAAGCAAAAGAAAAACGCGAGCRAGCGTTGATAAGAAATCGACAATGGACCACATCGAGAGCAGATAATAAAATAAATAAATAATCAAACCTGAAAAATTCATATCTGAGAGATATCTAAATCAGATGCAGTATTTCGGTATTATTTAATATTGTGTAACATGCGAAAAAGTGTAATTTTAATATAAAAATATACATTCTATAATCATATTCAAGGCTGGGCAAGTTAACTAATTATTTTAATTCGTTAAGTTAAGTTAATACAGAAAAATGTAAGTTAAGTTAAAAGTTAAAAGTTAGTTTTCTTATTTATTTAACTCGTTAAAAGTTAAAAGTTAATTTGAAAAAAAAGTAACTTAATTTAGTTAAAAATAAGTTAATTTTATTTTTCATGTACAATAAATTATCATACATTTTTATCAAATCTTAAC